TTTTAACCTTTATTTAACAATAAGTTTTAAATGTCCCAGGCACGCTTGAAATAGTATACATATCTTTAATATACACGAGGTCGTAATAATATAAGTAAAAGAACTAATAAGTCAGACAACTCTTACCTTGGACAAATTGGCGTGAAATAAAAATATGTACACAGGAAAATATATGTTTGGGACCTATGTTGTAAATTTACAGTTCTATGCATTATCGAGTTATCTACAGATTGATACAAAACCTTTAACTACATTACGTTTTCGCACATGCAGTTCGATCGGCTTCCCTGGTCTGTCGCTTTCTTCTTTTCGTCCTGATCATGCATGAAATATTTGCGACTGGATGTTAGCAAACAGCAATCAATGTCAACAGAAATTGACATATCAAGCAAGCGGATCAAACTGTCAGCACAAAATAATAAGCCTGTTTAATGTCTTTCAAGGTTTGGCATCCATCTGAAGCGCGCGAAATGAAGAATGTTCGATTAATCCTCCAGTGGTGTTAGCCGGCGCTGCCCGACGGATAGTAATCCGACCTCAGTAAATAGGTTCAAATAATGAGATGTTTCATTGCATAACTTTTTTTATTATTACATGTAAAATGTCGGTCTATGGCTCATTTTAAAGAAAATGGAATATACCTTTGTAAATTTTCAGATGTTGATCCAGACAATTTAATTGAGTTCTGGAGCTGGCATGACAATAACTGCTAGTAGTCCTTTGTTAATTTATGTATCAATGTCATTTTGTTTAGCTTCTTTTGTTACCTATTCTGACATTGGACTCGGACTTGTTTTAAACTGAGTTTTACTTTGCGTATTGCTGTGTGTTTGTTTTTCTACATTTTCTAAAGGTATATGGGGAGGGTTGAGATCTCACAAAACATCGTTTAACGGTTAATCTCGCCACATTTTTTCGCCTGTCCCAAGTCAGGAGACTCTGGCCTGAGCTATACTTGTATGATGTTTAATTTTAGTTTCTTTTATATATTTCAGAGTTTAGTATGACGTCCATTATCACTGAACAAGTATACATTTTTGTTTAGCAGTTGGAAAGCAGGTCACGGTTTGACCCCAAAGTCTATCTGCAACAATAGAGTCACGTGACCGTGAAAATTCAGTAAAACTACGGATGAGACAAACCTCACTTTTACTCACTAAAATACCACCGTCGTAGTAAAAACTTATTGATCTAAATAATCTTGAATATACATAGTTTTAACTCGTCAAAACTTACACATCAACTCAAAGTCCTTTATTCTTTATTTTATCTTCAAACTTGAAGTTTGTGTGAAAATTGTCAAGGCTCCTGATCGAAAAATCTAAATATTTTCGAGGAAACTAAAAATAATGGGCTGAATTTGAATTTAATAAAGCAGCTCATTAAGTCAAACACTCGATATGAATATCTAGGCAATACAGTTTTGGATACGCAAACGTCAAGTTATGTTCAACACGAAGCGGTGGTTTTTTTGTCGATTTGTGCAAGTGGTTATCTCCCCTTGATATCACCAGTCAAAAATAAAAACCCACCAAAATGAATAAAAAGGAGTTTATTTTACAAAAATCAAGAAGAAAATAAAAGAAAGTCGATTAACATCTATGTTATTATAATATTAAGAAGAGATACTTCTCTACTTTTCAGAGAAGGATTACAGGTAAAACTTAAAAGACAAATAATTGGTAAAAAATAGATCTAGAAACATAGCTGAATTGTCTGAATTGAATTGATATAAATTAGCCCTGGCTGATGAAATTTACTTTCAGTTTGTAATTTTTATAATGGGATATGGGATCACTCCTAATGTAACTACTTCTAACAATGTTTAATTCAATAAAACATACTGTATACAATTTAAATAATCTTTCTAAAAAAAATAGTACTGACCATTTATATTTTATATTTTAATAAAGTGGGACCAAGAGTCACAATTTAGTTTCTTCAAAGTAAAAAAGCCTTTTAACTCAAGCCTATGTTTCTTAGTTGAACAGTACAGCACTGCCTAGAAAATATCATACAGAAAAAGGATAAGTTTACCAAAAAAATGACAAAAATTCTGTAAAAAAATAATGCTTAAAATTATAAGTGATAATGGAGATATCGTATGAAATTGTGAAAAAAAAACTATTTTTAATCACAATTTCATTCATATATATAATAAAATCAGTACAGTGGGAAAGCCAGTGACATTGAAGAGTTCCTTTCGGTGGTCACGCGGGAAAGGGGACATAATCGAAAAATTTCGAGGTGGCGCTGTAATCAGCTTGTAAACAAAAACGTAGCATGCGATTCAGACAATAAATTTATCAAAACGACTTATCATTCAACAGTATTTGCGGTTTAATTTTCATCAGAATAGATTTTGTTAAACGACTGCCAAAAAAAAAAATTAAAATAATTGGTTCGTTATTGAAATATGACAAATAAAGTTTCGACCTCCGTTGACTTCCAAAAAACCGCGGGTAATACCCCCGTCTGGAAATAACTGACACAATTGCATCCTAAAGCTTTTCATTGGTTGAGATATAAATACATGTGACCCAGATAGATAAAGGCACATGACTATACCAAGAACTTCCCGTCACTCTTTGTCTTGTTTACATAATTAACACTTGAACAGGAGGTGAAAAATCGAAATTTTTCAAGCGTTTTTGGAGTTATTTCATCGCAAAATGGAGCACAAGATCTATAAATTACCCGTTTTTAACCACGAAAATGATAAGGACAATGAAATATGATGATGTTTTCTCGAATTCAAATATATTTTCTTTTTTAAAAATGGTGAAATGTTTCTTTAAATTGTTCCGTCTTTGTTAATCTGTTCCTTGTTGCCCAGACTCTTAGTATCAATTATTGTCAATTGATATTTAATCATTATGCAGTATGTAACATATTAAGGTACTACACTGAGACAAGGATTTGTATACAAATCCTTGACTGAGACTTGTTTTGTGTATGAATGGATTTCGTTATTATTTCAGTTGTCTGGTGGTGCCCCCTTCCTACTTTCAAGAAAATGAAAACCTTAAACACATGCCAGGTGAAAAACCTTAGCTAATCTCTACACAACGTACTAAAACAACATATTTACATGCAAGCCAGGAAATCTTTGATCATGTTGATGTTGTGTTGTATACATTAATATTAAAAAACAGAATTGAACCAGCCATTGAAGGATCCCAACAAATTAGGATCCACTATATTAAATGGGTCTTATTGTTCTTATTCAGAACTTGAACATTTTTAGCCATATTTTCACAACTCATGAGATTGAGTTATCTGTATTCATTTATCCCGAGATCAACAAATATAGACTGGCACTGTGACTTGAAGAACCAGCTAGTCTGATGAGTTAATCCCTTTTCACTTGATTTTTTAGGGTCTGTTCTTGTTAAACAAATCTGTACCAGACTAGTGGGAAGGTTACACTCCCACATTTGTTTATATGTGCCTATCCTTATCAAGGAATCTGTTAGACACTAAACCATTCATTTTTAGGGGTGTTTAGGACTGTAACTATTGAAACAAAAATTGTTTTAATCAATCAGCAGGAATACTCAAAGCCAAGAACACACAAGTCTCAATTCATGAAAAAGCTGTATATGACTAAAAGGGAAATAAAACAAAGGCCAAATTGCTTCTAAGATCAAACTTGAAGATGCCTTGTATATGTCTCACTGATTTTGGTGATCCTGTTTTATCTTATTGAAATTGGTGTTAAACCCATATCTCTTATTTCACACTGTTCTTTCTACATGTCTCTCATGGTGGACATTTTAGGTACTGTAAATTCAGAAATGATTGTGAAGTTTTTATTAATGCAATAATGTGACTGGGTGAATATCCCATCAAAAAGAACTTATATTCCGATAGCCTATCAATCTGATTTAAATACAGATCCTATGTCCACGCTTTCGTTACAAGGAAGCAAAGCTTGGACACAGGATCTATATCTTAATCAGATTCATATATCTGTGTACAGATTTTCCTGAAACAACAATATTTAATCTTGCATTTTAGTTCATTCTTCAAAAATAGCAATAATAAATGAACACAATAATTTGTAAATTTACAGTATTAAAAAACCAAGGTTTTACAAAATCACGTGATCACATGTGGGAAAAGACCACTTGGGCATATCATTCTTAATACTACATTTTGAGCAGGATCAGCTTTCTCATTCAGAGCACCTGAGATCACCTGTATTTTTGTGGGGTTCATGTTGCTCAGAGTCTTTAGTGATCCATGTTGTAAAGTAGACACATGTTTGTCTTGTCATCTTTATTTTTTTGTGATGGCTTTATCCATTGTTTTCAACTTGCAAGTTTGATTGTCCCTTTGTATCTTCTGCCTTTGTATATCAGTAATACATTGAAACTTGACCATGCAATGCAATATATTGCATGCATATCCTTGACTTGAAACATGCCATATTAAAAGTGAAATTACCATTAATGTTGATAGATTATTAATGTAAAACAAATTGGAAAATCAATCAGGCTGAACATTGGATACAACAGTTTTGCACTGATTATTTTACCATTTATACAATGGTCTTGGTGGATGGTTTGGATATGGGTGATTGAAATTACTTGTTCATACCTAGTTTATCCAAATAGAACACTAAAGCATACATAAGATTCAATTTTTATTAAACTAAAAAACAAAAGAGGAAAATAAATTGAAAAAAAAAATGAAAAAAGAAAAAATACACCAGCTACATTATCAACCTTTAACATATTTATCATTTAATATAAGAAAGTAATAAAAGTCATTTTCAATATTCCATATAAAAATAAAGAATGTGGTATGATTGCCAATGAGACAATGTCCTTTTGTATCAGTCCTATGGATCATAATCTTTCCATTTTGAATACTGTGTTAAATATCTAAATGCACACCATTTTAATGAAATAATTTTTAAACAGCTTTGTAACCTTGCAAAATATTTTTTTTGTTAGTTTCAAAACATGAATTAAATTCCTATTCAAACTTGAAACTTACTTGTTCTCAAATAATTTCTGGTCATATTGGCGTGAAAAAGCCAGAAAACCAGTCGACATATAGCGGGTTGCAATTGGCAAACAAAACAATTTCTCTCTTAGTCTGATAAGTTGCAGACAATTTAGTCACTGTACTTAACAAATGAATGTCAACATAAAAACTACAAACTGAATGACTAGCATTCATACACGAAACATACAGATATGGAATGACCAGCATTCACAATTATAGGTACTTAGGGTGCAATACCGTCTTTCCCCAAACAACACAAAATGACTAGCATTCACAATTATAGGTACTTAGGGTGTAATACCGTCTTTCCCCAAACAACACCAAATGACTAGCATTCACAATTATAGGTACTTAGGGTGCAATACCGTCTTTCCCCAAACAACACAAAATGACTAGCATTCACAATTATAGGTACTTAGGGTGCAATACCGTCTTTCCCCAAACAACACATAATGACCAGCATTCACAATTATAGGTACTTAGGGTGCAATACCGTCTTTCCCCAAACAACACAAAATGACTAGCATTCACAATTATAGGTACTTAGGGTGTAATACCGTCTTTCCCCAAACAACACCAAATGACTAGCATTCACAATTATAGGTACTTAGGGTGCAATACCGTCTTTCCCCAAACAACACAAAATGACTAGCATTCACAATTATAGGTACTTAGGGTGCAATACCGTCTTTCCCCAAACAACAAAAAATGACTAGCATTCACAATTATAGGTACTTAGGGTGTAATACCGTCTTTCCCCAAACAACACATAATGACTAGCATTCACAGTTATAGGTACTTAGGGTGCAATACCGTCTTTCCCCAAACAACACAAAATGACTAGCATTCACAATTATAGGTACTTAGGGTGCAATACCGTCTTTCCCCAAACAACACATAATTACTAGCATTCACAATTATAGGTACTTAGGGTGCAATACCGTCTTTCCCCAAACAACACAAAATGACTAGCATTCACAATTATAGGTACTTAGGGTGCAATACCGTCTTTCCCCAAACAACACAAAATGACTAGCATTCACAATTATAGGTACTTAGGGTGCAATACCGTCTTTCCCCAAACAACACATAATGACTAGCATTCACAATTATAGGTACTAAGGGTGCAATACCGTCTTTCCCCAAACAACACAAAATGACTAGCATTCACAATTATAGGTACTTAGGGTGCAATACCGTCTTTCCCCAAACAACACCAAATGACTAGCATTTACAGTTATAGGTACTTAGGGTGCAATACCGTCTTTCCCCGAACAACACATAATGACAAGCATTCACAATTATAGGTACTTAGGGTGCAATACCGTCTTTCCCCAAACAACATCAAATGACTAGCATTCACAATTATAGGTACTTAGGGTGTAATACCGTCTTTCCCCAAACAACACCAAATGACTAGCATTCACAATTATAGGTACTTAGGGTGCAATACCGTCTTTCCCCAAACAACACAAAATGACTAGCATTCACAATTATAGGTACTTAGGGTGCAATACCGTCTTTCCCCAAACAACAAAAAATGACTAGCATTCACAATTATAGGTACTTAGGGTGTAATACCGTCTTTCCCCAAACAACACATAATGACTAGCATTCACAGTTATAGGTACTTAGGGTGCAATACCGTCTTTCCCCAAACAACACAAAATGACTAGCATTCACAATTATAGGTACTTAGGGTGCAATACCGTCTTTCCCCAAACAACACATAATTACTAGCATTCACAATTATAGGTACTTAGGGTGCAATACCGTCTTTCCCCAAACAACACAAAATGACTAGCATTCACAATTATAGGTACTTAGGGTGCAATACCGTCTTTCCCCAAACAACACAAAATGACTAGCATTCACAATTATAGGTACTTAGGGTGCAATACCGTCTTTCCCCAAACAACACATAATGACTAGCATTCACAATTATAGGTACTAAGGGTGCAATACCGTCTTTCCCCAAACAACACAAAATGACTAGCATTCACAATTATAGGTACTTAGGGTGCAATACCGTCTTTCCCCAAACAACACCAAATGACTAGCATTTACAGTTATAGGTACTTAGGGTGCAATACCGTCTTTCCCCGAACAACACATAATGACAAGCATTCACAATTATAGGTACTTAGGGTGCAATACCGTCTTTCCCCAAACAACATCAAATGACTAGCATTCACAATTATAGGTACTTAGGGTGCAATACCGTCTTTCCCCAAACAACACATAATGACTAGCATTCACAATTATAGGTACTTAGGGTGCAATACCGTCTTTCCCCAAACAACATCAAATGACTAGCATTCACAATTATAGGTACTTAGGGTGCAATACCGTCTTTCCCCAAACAACACCAAATGACTAGCATTCACAATTATAGGTACTTAGGGTGCAATACCGTCTTTCCCCAAACAACACATAATGACCAGCATTCACAATTATAGGTACTTAGGGTGCAATACCGTCTTTCCCCAAACAACACAAAATGACTAGCATTCACAATTATAGGTACTTAGGGTGCAATACCGTCTTTCCTCAAACAACACATAATGACCAGCATTCACAATTATAGGTACTTAGGGTGCAATACCGTCTTTCCCCAAACAACACAAAATGACTAGCATTCACAATTATAGGTACTTAGGGTGCAATACCGTCTTTCCCCAAACAACACATAATGACTAGCATTTACAGTTATAGGTACTTAGGGTGCAATACCGTCTTTCCCCAAACAACTCATAATGACTAGCATTCACAATTATAGGTACTTAGGGTGCAATACCGTCTTTCCCCAAACAACATCAAATGACTAGCATTCACAATTATAGGTACTTAGGGTGCAATACCGTCTTTCCCCAAACAACACAAAATGACTAGCATTCACAATTATAGGTACTTAGGGTGCAATACCGTCTTTCCCCAAACAACACCAAATGACTAGCATTCACAATTATAGGTACTTAGGGTGCAATACCGTCTTTCCCCAAACAACATCAAATGACTAGCATTCACAATTATAGGTACTTAGGGTGCAATACCGTCTTTCCCCAAACAACACATAATGACTAGCATTCACAATTATAGGTACTTAGGGTGTAATACCGTCTTTCCCCAAACAACACCAAATGACTAGCATTCACAATTATAGGTACTTAGGGTGCAATACCGTCTTTCCCCAAACAACACAAAATGACTAGCATTCACAATTATAGGTACTTAGGGTGCAATACCGTCTTTCCCCAAACAACACAAAATGACTAGCATTCACAATTATAGGTACTTAGGGTGTAATACCGTCTTTCCCCAAACAACACATAATGACTAGCATTCACAGTTATAGGTACTTAGGGTGCAATACCGTCTTTCCCCAAACAACACAAAATGACTAGCATTCACAATTATAGGTACTTAGGGTGCAATACCGTCTTTCCCCAAACAACACATAATGACTAGCATTCACAATTATAGGTACTTAGGGTGCAATACCGTCTTTCCCCAAACAACACAAAATGACTAGCATTCACAATTATAGGTACTTAGGGTGCAATACCGTCTTTCCCCAAACAACACAAAATGACTAGCATTCACAATTATAGGTACTTAGGGTGCAATACCGTCTTTCCCCAAACAACACATAATGACTAGCATTCACAATTATAGGTACTTAGGGTGCAATACCGTCTTTCCCCAAACAACACAAAATGACTAGCATTCACAATTATAGGTACTTAGGGTGCAATACCGTCTTTCCCCAAACAACACTAAATGACTAGCATTTACAGTTATAGGTACTTAGGGTGCAATACCGTCTTTCCCCAAACAACACATAATGACAAGCATTCACAATTATAGGTACTTAGGGTGCAATACCGTCTTTCCCCAAACAACATCAAATGACTAGCATTCACAATTATAGGTACTTAGGGTGCAATACCGTCTTTCCCCAAACAACACAAAATGACTAGCATTCACAATTATAGGTACTTAGGGTGCAATACCGTCTTTCCCCAAACAACACATAATGACTAGCATTCACAATTATAGGTACTTAGGGTGCAATACCGTCTTTCCCCAAACAACACATAATGACTAGCATTCACAGTTATAGGTACTTAGGGTGCAATACCGTCTTTCCCCAAACAACACATAATGACTAGCATTCACAATTATAGGTACTTAGGGTGCAATACCGTCTTTCCCCAAACAACACATAATGACTAGCATTCACAATTATAGGTACTTAGGGTGCAATACCGTCTTTCCCCAAACAACACATAATGACTAGCATTTACAGTTATAGGTACTTAGGGTGCAATACCGTCTTTCCCCAAACAACACATAATGACTAGCATTCACAATTATAGGTACTTAGGGTGCAATACCGTCTTTCCCCAAACAACACAAAATGACTAGCATTCACAATTATAGGTACTTAGGGTGCAATACCGTCTTTCCCCAAACAACACCAAATGACTAGCATTCACAATTATAGGTACTTAGGGTGCAATACCGTCTTTCCCCCAAACAACACATAATGACTAGCATTCACAATTATAGGTACTTAGGATGCAATACCGTCTTTCCCCAAACAACACCAAATGACTAGCATTCACAATTATAGGTACTTAGGGTGCAATACCGTCTTTCCCCAAACAACACAAAATGACTAGCATTCACAATTATAGGTACTTAGGGTGCAATACCGTCTTTCCCCAAACAACACAAAATGACTAGCATTCACAATTATAGGTACTTAGGGTGCAATACCGTCTTTCCCCAAACAACACAAAATGACTAGCATTCACAATTATAGGTACTTAGGGTGCAATACCGTCTTTCCCCAAACAACACAAAATGACTAGCATTCACAATTATAGGTACTTAGGGTGCAATACCGTCTTTCCCCAAACAACACAAAATGACTAGCATTCACAATTATAGGTACTAAGGGTGCAATACCGTCTTTCCCCAAACAACACAAAATGACTAGCATTCACAATTATAGGTACTTAGGGTGCAATACCGTCTTTCCCCAAACAACACAAAATGACTAGCATTCACAATTATAGGTACTTAGGGTGCAATACCGTCTTTCCCCAAACAACACAGAATGACTAGCATTCACAATTATAGGTACTTAGGGTGCAATACCGTCTTTCCCCAAACAACACAGAATGACTAGCATTCACAATTATAGGTACTTAGGGTGCAATACCGTCTTTCCCCAAACAACACAGAATGACTAGCATTCACAATTATAGGTACTTAGGGTGCAATACCGTCTTTCCCCAAACAACACCAAATGACTAGCATTCACAATTATAGGTACTTAGGGTGCAATACCGTCTTTCCCCAAACAACACAAAATGACTAGCATTCACAATTATAGGTACTTAGGGTGCAATACCGTCTTTCCCCCAAACAACACAAAATGACTAGCATTCACAATTATAGGTACTTAGGGTGCAATACCGTCTTTCCCCAAACAACATCAAATGACTAGCATTCACAATTATAGGTACTTAGGGTGCAATACCGTCTTTCCCCAAACAACGCATAATGACTAGCATTCACAGTTATAGGTACTTAGGGTGCAATACCGTCTTTCCCCAAACAACACAAAATGACTAGCATTCACAATTATAGGTACTTAGGGTGCAATACCGTCTTTCCCCAAACAACGCAAAATGACTAGCATTAACAATTATAGGTACTTAGGGTGCAATACCGTCTTTCCCCAAACAACACATAATGACTAGCATTCACAATTATAGGTACTTAGGGTGCAATACCGTCTTTCCCCAAACAACACAAAATGACTAGCATTCACAATTATAGGTACTTAGGGTGCAATACCGTCTTTCCCCAAACAACACAAAATGACTAGCATTCACAATTATAGGTACTTAGGGTGCAATACCGTCTTTCCCCAAACAACACAAAATGACTAGCATTCACAATTATAGGTACTTAGGGTGCAATACCGTCTTTCCCCAAACAACACCAAATGACTAGCATTCACAATTATAGGTACTTAGGGTGCAATACCGTCTTTCCCCAAACAACACATAATGACTAGCATTCACAATTATAGGTACTTAGGGTGCAATACCGTCTTTCCCCAAACAACACATAATGACTAGCATTCACAATTATAGGTACTTAGGGTGCAATACCGTCTTTCCCCAAACAACACAAAATGACTAGCATTCACAATTATAGGTACTTAGGGTGCAATACCGTCTTTCCCCAAACAACACAAAATGACTAGCATTCACAATTATAGGTACTTAGGGTGCAATACCGTCTTTCCCCCAAACAACACAAAATGACTAGCATTCACAATTATAGGTACTTAGGGTGCAATACCGTCTTTCCCCAAACAACATCAAATGACTAGCATTTACAATTATAGGTACTTAGGGTGCAATACCGTCTTTTCCCAAACAACGCATAATGACCAGCATTCACAGTTATAGGTACTTAGGGTGCAATACCGTCTTTCCCCAAACAACACAAAATGACTAGCATTCACAATTATAGGTACTTAGGGTGCAATACCGTCTTTCCCCAAACAACGCAAAATGACTAGCATTAACAATTATAGGTACTTAGGGTGCAATACCGTCTTTCCCCAAACAACACATAATGACTAGCATTCACAATTATAGGTACTTAGGGTGCAATACCGTCTTTCCCCAAACAACACAAAATGACTAGCATTCACAATTATAGGTACTTAGGGTGCAATACCGTCTTTCCCCAAACAACACAAAATGACTAGCATTCACAATTATAGGTACTTAGGGTGCAATACCGTCTTTCCCCAAACAACACAAAATGACTAGCATTCACAATTATAGGTACTTAGGGTGCAATACCGTCTTTCCCCAAACAACACATAATGACTAGCATTCACAATTATAGGTACTTAGGGTGCAATACCGTCTTTCCCCAAACAACACATAATGACTAGCATTCACAATTATAGGTACTTAGGGTGCAATACCGTCTTTCCCCAAACAACACATAATGACTAGCATTCACAATTATAGGTACTTAGGGTGCAATACCGTCTTTCCCCAAACAACACATAATGACTAGCATTCACAATTATAGGTACTTAGGGTGCAATACCGTCTTTCCCCAAACAACACATAATGACTAGCATTCACAATTATAGGTACTTAGGGTGCAATACCGTCTTTCTCCAAACAACACATAATGACTAGCATTCACAATTATAGGTACTTAGGGTGCAATACCGTCTTTCCCCAAACAACACAAAATGACTAGCATTCACAATTATAGGTACTTAGGGTGTAATACCGTCTTTCCCCAAACAACACATAATGACTAGCATTCACAATTATAGGTACTTAGGGTGCAATACCGTCTTTCCCCAAACAACACAGAATGACTAGCATTCACAATTACAGAAACAGTAGTATTTTTGCAGGAAGAAAATCACCAACAGTGACATTTAGAATATTTTACATTTAACGTTGACTTGCACATTTTCTTTTGTCAAAATTTGTTTCAACTGATTTTCAACAAGAAAAAATTAGTCAAGAATTTATATCCTTGAAGTTAGTACCTTTTGATCTTATTTCATCAAATAGGCTCTGCTGAAAATGATAAATGTAGCTGTGTGTATATTTAAAAATAAAAATATGTTAAGGGAAAAAAAGGTTAATTAGAGGATGAAAAATTTAAAAATAATGTAAAAATGAAACATATGTAAATAAAAATTGGAATAATTAAAAATAAATAAGCTTCTAGAAAATAAACAAAAATACTTAGACTTTGGATGTAAATTAAAAAAAATGCAATAATGATATATCCTAAAATGTAAGAGGCATTAATGTAAAAAAGTCCATATAAAACATCATCTAATGTCAAATAGTCCTCTGTTTCATAAATCCTCAAAACTGAAATGTTCCAAGCTCTTCTTCGTTCCTATTGTTATCTGTAAATATAAGAGATACATAGTTAAGAATTATTTTCAACTTCTAATTAAGCAAGTATTAGTTACCCAGTATGAAATTGTAGTCATATTTTAATTGTCTACTGAGTCCAACAATAATGACAAGTTTCACATTTCAATTTGAATGTTTCTAATTTCACTAAGACTTTTTAAAATATATTTGTAATCATCATTTTTATTAAACTGAAATAAATTTTATTGTAATAGTAAATAAACAAAAGTAAATAAGCTTAAATAGAATAAACAAAAAAGAGTTAAGACTAAAGATGTAAATAAATCATCTATGTTAATGACTTTATATGATATGTCTAAGGAGAAAAGGGGCATAATCATGATACAACTACATTATATACTCCAAGACATTATTCTATGTATTTATTAATATACTTTATCTTTAATTGACCACTTTTACATATCAATCTTTTTTTTATAGAAATCATGTCATATATATATTGTTATAATATATATATATATATATAAATAACAAAGTTAAACTTCACATTGCAACATTATATTATCAAATCTGTTGACTAAAAGGCAACAGTTAAGAATGTTACAATAATAATTAATAAAAACAATAACTCCAACAAACAATAATGCAGTCACTTAAAATTAATTTGCAGTTATTTAGATTTACTCCTAACATTACTTGTGGGGATGCCAAAGTAGTTACGTGTCTACACTGAGGTTGTGAGTTTAAACCCTCCTTGTGCGGGTTCGCTCAACTCCAATCTTAATTGACTAGGAGTAGGGTGGCTCCTAACAAAGGTTCTCTCTGAGCATTCTTGCTTCAAGTACCAATAAAAACTGGCTGACACAACATAGCAAATTATAAAAAGTGGCAAAAACACAAGCAATTCATCATATATAATTTGTGGGATTTTTTTTTAGTCCAACTTATTGAACTTTTTAATTTCCATCCCTAAATCTTGAATTTTGCTCTGTTAGTAAATGATATTTCAAAATATTTCTAAGCCAAACTTAAATGCAAATAAATCTTAAGTAGACTAAAATTAAGAATATTAGAATAAAGCACAATACAGAAGAATTCAAATTAACATTAACATGAATAATTTCTTTTGTGTGGACAGATTTTTATAGAAATCTGGTATAAAGCAAATTAAACTGTTAATCATATAAATATATGTACATGCAAAATGAATACTATATCAAGACCATGTGGACTCTCATTCCTATGTGGTAACTTTAGCCATAATTTGTTCCACATTATAACACTGGACAATTTAAACAATTTTAGATAGTACATGTATACAATTTGAAATTTTAATTTCCATCCCAGATCAGTCATAAATAATATAACTGAACTGCATTTGAATAGGACTTTTGAATTCTAAATAGGCTCATATTAATGGTTTTATATAAACAATACTATTTCTATTTGTCAATAGATGTCATGTTAGGGACTAAATAGGATACACAGAATGTATTCTCTGTTCAAGCTTTAAACGCACCAATTAGCATGATTAGAGAAGAACTTTTCAAGTATCAGTTCTCATTTAGTAATGCGTGTTAAAATTTTTAATTTCCATCCTAGATCAGTCATAAATATAGCTGAATTGCATTCGAATAGGACTTGAATTCTAAATGGGCTCATATTAATGGTTTTATATAAACAATACTATTTCTATTTGTCAGCAGATGTCATTTTAGGGACTAAATAGGATACACAGAATGTATTCTCTGTTTAAGCTTTAAACACATCTATTAGAAAACAACTTTTCAAGTATTAGTTCTCATTTAGTAATTAATGTGTGTGTAAATTTAATTACCTGTTTCATTAGCATTATATACAAATAATCATTTCATAATTAAAAAGAAGTTCATTAAACATAATATTCCATCTATGTAAGCAATATTTACATATAGATATAATAACATATATAATAATACTGTATAAGATATTTACATAGATTGAGTGCAACTGACCTGAAAGGACTTTCACATACATAAAGTAAATACCACCATTAAATTAAAAGGAAATATTCTAGATTCATGATAACAATACAAACAACTGTATTATAATGTATTCAATAATACATCAGAGACAATTAAAAACTGCCTACAAACACTTTTTTTCTACATGAAGTTTTTGACGCAATTTTACAAAAAAATGAGACGAAAGACATATGATTTTCATTGGATTTATTGAAAGATATATGTAAACAGTTTCAGAAAAGGTATTACTTGAAGTGATTGAAATTCTACTTTTGGTCAAATTTTGGGGAAATATGTCACATCTTTTCCCCCCTTTTTGCTATATTTTATAACAAAAAAATGCAGATTGTTGCCATGGATACACCAAAAAGAAATTATATTTTACTATTTTATATACTGGATATGAAATCTATGGAAGATTCTGATTACATACATATGCACATATATGACACAAACAGTAAGCTTAATATATTGCAAGAAGGCAATGAAAAGGGGATGGTTAAAATTTATGAGGGAAAATTTTAATACTTTTTCCTAACTGTTTATTGCTACCTTATGGCATACTTACCAAGATCAGAATTGTATAATTTAAGACTTTTCATACCTCAAATCTATTGATATTTAGATTCTAAATCAACTTCTGAAGGGATTAAGTGTTTAAGAATGACAATACATGTCAATTTTATTGTTTACAGTCCTTAGCAACCAAAATTAGACATTTTGACACAAGGCTTATAATTGTACTCTATTTGCTTAACCCTTGCTTCTGAAGGATTGCGGAGTATGTAGTAGCCTAAGTATTGAATGTTTTGTATTTTTTCTTGCGAATATATCAAATTATTATTTTTATCAGGATTTCATGTTACATTTTGACATATATTAAATGTATAGTTGATTCAGCTGTAAGAAATTGATTCCCCATTACCAAGTTTTTTAATCAAGTCTTTGGTATACATTAAACATAAAGATTAACATTTTCATGCTTGAAATTGTTAAATTTTGTACAATTTTGTATCATCAGAGGTCTTATAAAGATTTTCAACATTAAAAAACTGACAAAAGAGGTATAGTTTTTAAGATTTTGCCAAAAATTGAGGTAGAAACAAGATTTAACACTTTGACTTGGCACCTTTCTTTAAATCAGTTTTTGTCGCATTTCAGTGTCAACTGCTAACCTTCATAAAATATTCATTACTCAACCAATTTTGA